TATAGAGAGAGAGAGAGAGAGAGAGAGATTATACATAGTATATTACATACCATGCTAACACAAAGCATATTGTAGGTGGTTGGCGGGTGCTCTGGTGTGGTTTGCTTCTTGCTTTCCTATCAAACATCTATCGTCCTTATCTCCCCCTTTTTTAAAAATGTTTGTTACTCTCTTGTAACATCTCTAATCTTCTGGCGCTCATGTGACCTTATGCAGTTGCGAGCGCCGTAAATCCTCGGGTTGCGAGCGCCGTAAAACCTCTACTAAAACTAAACTAAATAACAAAGCGTATTATAATATTATGCTTACGTCACTGCACAGCCAAAAGGTCAAAGGGGAGACCCAGCAACAACAAAGCAGAGCGTCAGCGAAACACTGATGACGTCATGGAGGGCGGGGTTGGCAGCAAGGTCGATGACGTCATGATGGCCGGCGACAACGACATGGTGGTCAAGGTGTATCCAGCCTTCCTGGTGCCCTACACCAATAAGGTTATTACGTCATTTGCTTTTGTAAAAGTAACGTCTTACATTTACTTTGGTTAAAGTAACGTCTTACATTTTTGGGGGTAAAAGTAACGTCAAATAATAATAATAATAATAAACTTTCACTATAGCTTGTTCACTTTCGTCTGACCCTGTTAACCCTCTCCGTACGCCCTGGGATCATTTTGTACCCCCGGGGTTGTATTCTTCACATTTTAGAATACTTCTAGTACGAAGATCTCTTTGATACTTTCATCAGTATTTTCTAAAAAAAATCATTTATTTGACAGACTGCTATGCAAAGCGTACGGATCGGATTGACGAGTAAATTTCCTCTTTGGAAAGTGGTGGCACAGAGTTCCCCACGTCGTATGCATACGATAGTAAAACACGACGTACGGATAGGGCTTAAAACTTTCTAGCTCATTTATTGATTTACCTTTACTTTTGCCTACGAAACTTTGCATGACACTCCTGCAGGCCAGCGACCAAACACAAATATATTTGTTAAAAATCTTGATCTAGTTATAAACTAGCATTTCTCTATGGGCCCTGTGTATTAAAAACCCACCTTCGGATGCACACACAGGATTACTAAAATAAACGACTTAGCCTACAGAGACCCCGACTACAAATTGCTCACTTTGAAACAGCAAGGTTGAAACCATAGGCGTATGATAGAGTGTGATGTTGAGGAAAAGATGTCAATATTTGGGTGTTTTAGGTCTTTCTCTCAACTGTTTTTGTGTATCTACTTTATAATAATAATAATAATAAATAGCATTTATACTGCGCATTTCCATTTCCTAAAAGATGCTCAATGCGCATTACAATGAAAAAGACATCACATCTTAAAAATTAATCGACACAAATGTGTACGTAAAACAAAGTATTATACATATAATATAAATGCATATGTGTAAAATTATATACCAGAAACACAGTCTCGCAGTGAGGTTGAAAATGTGTTCACTAAAAATATACAATGCAATATAAATTCACGAACAGTCAAAATATTGCTCTCTCAATGACCCTAAGGCTGGACATATACTGCCACGGACAACTGTTTTTGTGTATCTACTTTATCCCCAACACCCAATGACCCTGAGGCTGGACATATACTGCCACGGACAACTGTTTTTGTGTATCTACTTTATCCCCAACACCCAATGACCCTGAGGCTGGACATATACTGCCACGGACAACTGAAGTGCGACGCGGAAAAAACAGCGTGCCTACTCATTAGGCCTATTTCCTATCGGTGATTTCACTGACACGACTAGACGTGAGGAGTCGTGAGGACCCAAAAAGACGTGCGCGAGTGCAGCACTTCTTTTTCTCGAGCGAACAGGCTCGCCATTCTATAAGAGTGTTCCTAGACGCCGTGGAGATAAAACAAAACAAAACAACAACAACAACAACAATAAAAGGGGGGGGGGGGCGACCATTGAGCTGTATACGCCTGCTCAACGCCATAATATTTTTAAACACAGTCGGACGGAGTCCTGCTGACCTATGGGATCACCACTTCGGACCTAGCTACTCGTCCGTTTCGTGACGCACTTCAGTCAAAGATTCTCCACTACCTACTAGATCTAGATCTACATTGAAGAGGAGAATCTTTGCTTCAGTTGTTCGTGGCAGTATACTATTTTGAGCCTTATTGTGTTGACGTGCTTCTCTTCACTCAAACAAACAAACAAAACCAACAAACGAGCAGACTCTGCGGCTGCGCCTGGTGTTCACAGACGCCAAAGTTCGGCAGATGATCGGGGAGCACGGCCACCTCAAGCACGACACGGACTCCGAGCCTATGCAGGAGACCTCACACCTAGTGCGGACTGTCCACTCGCTGCGGATACAGCTGGGATACAGGTGAACAACACACAGACACGCACACATATGCACACACATGCATACACACGCATAAACACACTCATACTCACACACACATACATACACACACGCACGTATAAACACACACACGCTTAAGCACACACACACACATACACACACACACACACCACACACACACACACACACACACATACACACGCACACATGCACACATATATGCATACACACACGCACGTATAAACACACACACGCATATAAACACACACTCACATGCACACACACGCACATGTACACACATGCATACACACATACACGCACATACACACACATACATACACACACACACA